TCTCTAGGGATGCTATTCCCGGTTACCAAAATAGGGCTCTTTAAACCTCTACAGATTCTCAGTCACGCAATTAAAACAGTTCGATTATTAGTTAGTTGTTAGTAGTGCATGGCTTGGCTCTGGGGATTCACATGTTGTGTACACAATGTCGAGCGCAGCTGAAGATTTAAATACGTTGGTTTATTAAAACTTGTCGATGTATGCATGAATAAAGGTTTTCTGATAAACTAGTTTTATAACGAACTTAAAGTGCATCACAAACATTTAAAATTGTGCAATACCAACCAGTAAGAGTTCATTATCAATAGGAAGAGAAGAGAAACAAATTCTACGATAGTGAGGTTACGGTCAGACTTTGTCATGTCAAAGTTCAAAAGACTTAATTAGTTGCTTATTATTATCTTTTATTCTTCGTTAGTTCAACAGTACAATTACATTTAGTTTATTAATCATTAACTTTAATGTGGAGCATGTACGGAATGCAATGAAACGATTAAAGCCTAAATGTTCCACTGGCTTGGATTCCATACCTTCATTTTTTCTAAAAGACTGTGCGTGTGTTCTTGCTGAGCCTTTGACATATCTTTTCAATTTGTCCTTGAAATCTGCCACCTTTCCTAGAAAATGGAAATTGTCTAAAATAACACCTGTTTTTAAGAAAGGCGATGGATCGCAGGTAGAGAATTACAGGGCTATTGTTATTTTAAGTAATATTGCCAAAACTTTTGAGTTTGTTCTTTTTGATATTTTGTCTCATGTAAGTCGGTCAATATCGACGAGTCAACATGGTTTCTATAAGGGTAGATCTACGTGTAGTAATTTGGCATGTTTTAAGAAGTACTCCGCATCAGATCTGGATAATGGCGGGCAAGTTGATGTAGTCTATACTGACTTTTCGAAAGCTTTCGACCGTTTGGATCACAATGTTCTATTGCAGAAGTTGTCTAAGTACGGCTTAACATCTAGATTCTTAGCTTTCTTTCATTCATACATCAGTGATAGACAATTATGTGTGGACTTCCGTGGATATAAGTCTGGTGCGGTTTTAGCTACATCAGGGGTGCCTCAAGGTTCTGTTCTGGGTCCCCTATTATTTTTAATTTTTATAAATGATGTTATAACAGACTTGCGTTGTGAGTACTTGCTATATACCTCAAAATTTTTAATAGCGTTTGTTGCTCTGAAGATAGTTTAAAGTTACAAGCTGATTTGAATGTCTTTGATCACTGGTGTAAAGTAAATAACATGCACTTGAATGTCAATAAATGTACTACTATGACGATTACACGTAGGGTGGAACCAAGATGTTTTAATTTTGAAATCGGTAGCAATGTTCTTTGTCGTGTTAATATCGTCAAGGATTTGGGAGTATTATTCGATCAAAAGCTTTCTTTTATTGATCACATTAATGCAATAATAGCAAAAGCATTTAAAAATCTAGGATTTGTTATAAGAAACAGTAGACATTTCAATAATAATAATACATTAATTTTACTTTTTAATGCTTTTGTCAGATCTATTTTAGAATACTGTTCGATTATCTGGTACCCGGCCTATGATATACACTGTAGAAACATCGAGAGAATCCAACGTCGTTTTGTGAAATACTTATGGTTTAAAGATGATAGAGCGTACCCTGAAAGAGGTATACGCAATGACATTCTCTTAAGTAGGTATAATTTATCTAATTTAGTCAAACGTAGGAATCTGTTAGCTGCTAAATTTTTATGTAATTTGTTGAATGGAACAATTGATTGCCCTTTTCTTTTAGACAGGATCTCTCTACGCGTTCCCGATTTGCGTACTCGTCATGGTGGTAACAATTCATTTTATTTACCTGTTCCGCGGTCAAATTTATTGTTATTTTCTCCTCTTTATGTTATGTGTAATGTCTGTGACAGTGTAAGTGAACTTGATACGTTTAGTACCTCCAAAATCAATCTCAAGAGGTTATTTTTAACAATTGGATAATTTATGTTTATGTTTATACTGCTTACAGTTTTGTTTTTTGTATCACTTTTTGTTTTTTCCCTGCCTGTTAATTGGATCACTCTGTTCAGGCAGTGTATGGATTATAAAATAAAATAAAATAAATAAATAAATAAACTTTACTGTTCTTATATCCTATATATTTTTCCTATTTTCTCCATCATTTTTCATGTTTTGTACTTAATACTGATGCATTTTCCTTGTTTCCTTTTTCACTTTATTAACATCCCTATTGTAGTTTGAGTCTTATAACCTCACGCCTATTTTTTTGACAAAGTTTATACATATATAAGTTCATAAACTTGCTAGTTCTCAGAAGTGAACACCTAAATTAAGAGATACAACTAAGTATTTGGATAAATTTTGATACACATACAATTGCGAAATTTAGTGTTCCTTTACTTCCGAAACTGCAATGTGTATCTTCGCTGTATTAATTCTTGCTTAATGATAAGGCGTCAAGGCATTGATTAGTTGAAGTCATTGATATTATTGATTCACTTGACAATATGTAGGTAAAGGATCATATTATTACATTAAATGATCTTCTATTGTAGCAAAATTTGAGCACTCATATTTCATCTTATCGACTTTATTAGGCACTACTATTGTTACGACAAAGGTTTCTATCAATTCGTCAAATCATGACAGCATCCAGACGTATGAAAAACACAAGTTATTGGTGACTAGCTATCCGACTGCCATGACTTATCACGGCAAATGATATCTATCGAGGAATGACAAAACGATCTATAATACATAACTCACAACATACGCCGTAGGAGCTACGAATGACCTCCGCTATTGTCATCTCTAAGATAGATGCTATATTAAGTGAAAGACATCATATCAGCAGTACATGCTTTGCGTTTAGGCAATACACGCAGCTACCACAAATAAATGCTTGTAGCTACCTAGTAGGTAATAGAAATGAAGACTATCACGAGTGTTCGATTGCGTCTGACAATCGCTATCGCTTTCATTTTGCAGTTGCGTAATAATTGTTGCCAAACTAGGATTACGTGCCCAAAGCCTTAGAGTCGGTTTCTATGGAAAAATTTACCAGAAGGCTGTAAAAACTGATAATATCGATATAATCTGGTTAGGAAACTACTGTTTTAGTCGAAAAACTTTATTGTGATCGCAAACATTTCAAAAATTTTCATATACTTATTTCAAGGCATTATATGACGTCTGCATCAGGAAAAACCAGGTCACTTGTTTTCGACGGCTTGTCTGTCGGATTTTAATTTTTCTGCATAAATTACTAATATGCCAAGGACGAAACAGGAGGAGGATACATATTTCGCACATCATACGTTTCCTCGTACATTTACCCTTAAAACTCATACTTTTTCAGCAGACGGATTGCGTATCGGTTGTCCTTACCGTACGTTGCGAGGTAATAAATATTGGACCTTTGGTATCAGTGCAAGACGAGTGTAATTTGTTGAGGTTACTTGATTTTTTGGAGGTACTATTATATATAATATATAGTACAGTATATGTTTTATGATATACATAATATGGTATATAAATATGGATCAAGAGCCATACTAATTAGTTATCAAACATTGTTGACAGGTTTACACCAGAGTTCCAAATTAATAAGGCCACCATGTACGGACTCTTTCATTGCTGCAACCTGAGCTTTTTTATCATAAAAAATGCTCAAATAATGCATTAGTTGTTCTGACGAGAGCCACTGCTTCTGGATGCCACTATGTTTAGATTAAATTGCTCTACGTGAAAAATTGTACTGAAAGCCGTTTCGACAGACTGAGAAATATACAGTTAATCTACTTGACTTCATTTTTTAGTACCGGCGACGTTCAGATTTTTTAAAAACACCTTATGCTGAGCTTAGCTGGTCGCTTGACATGACTGACAGCTACAGTGACAGTATGCCAAAATCTCAAATATGTTGTCATGAACAAGAGTGATTTTGATTTATGAATGAATGTAAATTTGGATCAATCAATATTATAATGTAACAGTTGCAGTTGCTAAGCATCGCTCAAATAATTATGCTTATTATTATGGTTATTTCCTGTTTATTGATTAAAACCCGAAAAAAATAAAAGTTCAGCCATGACCCTTTTCCATACATGACTTTGATCTAAAAAGCCTACAAGGTGTCTATGTTAGAATTAAACCTTTCGTACTGGAATGCATTTTTGGAGTTACAAAATCAGTGACATTTGCATCAACCTCTGGATTAACCCTCTGTGATTGGTATGCATCATAATTCCAGCAGACGCATTTTTTTCTTATTCTATAGGGTCTATTGACCAACCTGAACACATAATGATTGTAAAAAACCAAATTACGTTTTCGCTAAAAACAATTATCGTTTGTAAGCACCATTAGCTGGGAGGACGGCTTGTAATCCCCAGCACAAGAAAGTGAATTTTCTAGTCGAAATTGGGGATATAAATTCCCGGAAATTGAATCGGCTTACCGACCGTGCCCTTCCAAAAGGGCCACCATCGGCACGTACGGATGAGCCCTAATGGGCTAGTTTACTGGTCCCCGGAGGACCTTGAATTATGATAGATTGAGCCTTACGATACATTAAATCCTGCTTTAAGCTAAATATACTGTTGTGAGATTGTAACAAAGGGTGTACAGGCTGTTGCTTAATGTTTGTGTTAGGGATGCTTCAGCGAATATTTTTTTATGCCGAGGGCATCAGACTGCAGTTATTTGTCGATTGCATATAAATAGTGCACTTATTAAACAATTGCGATTTTTTTACTGCTAGATTGCGATTTCTTGGCATGACTTAAAACTCTTTCCTTCTGTTTCAAAGTGCCCAACGACTGTATTTTTGCATCTAACCAAATTTTGTATCAATACAGGCCTCCCTTATTTTATAGCTTCAGTTGCCTCCCTCAGCTCTTATTGGTCAGTCTACCACACAACTCTGTGATCATAGAGAATATAGTATGTACGAGACTAAACCCGCCGCTCCGCTCACGTGGGGTAGTGTAAAGTATAGGTCATAAATACCTTTCGCCTTAGTGTGGAGATTGGGCCCAGAGAAACAAATCCAATTCAATCAACATTTTTTATTCAACATTTTAATGCAGCAATAAATTATATTCTTCGTTTCGCCTGCTGATAATAATATCATCGACAGAAAGTAAGGGGTCTGCTTGAACATTTATTTGATCTTGAAATGGCCTTGTTGGTCATGGCTAGGCTCATTGGCAAAGATATACTTTGTAATTCAGGAACTAAAAATATATATTTTCCGTTAGATTTGATTTGGTCTTCAAATGACCTTAATGACCATAGTGGACATGCTTGAACATAGTTTCCTGCTCTTTTTATTTCCGGTGTCAAACAGGGGCTTCATTTAAAACAACTGCCTTGACCTCCAAATGAGTTAGAAGGTTATAGTCAAGATCACATTTGAGGTCACCAGTACATGTACTCCAAACCTCACAACTTCATTAGGTACATAACATTTTCCTTCACGAAACATATTCTTGGAGATATTCAGTCCCTTCCCTACTTTCTGGACATGACGATCACGGTCAAGGTCATGGATGAAGACGTACTCTAACGTAGACCTTTCAGCTCTTGGTTTACCAATACTTTTTGAACAGCCTGTATATTTTCGCTTAGAAGCCATGCCTATTACCTTCTTCAGGGTTCCAATTAGTACATGTACTTACAATTTTGTACGTCTCTCCGTATTGCGTTTCGGACGTGATGCTGACAGATTGGACATTCACATTCACACAGGGTGTTCCTTAATGATGTGCGCATGTTTAAGGGTGTGAATCTACATGAAAAATAAATGTTAGTTTGCTTTATAAACTATGGTCCAAAAATGTTTCCTTACAAAAACTCAGGGTGTTGAAGTTTTAGGAAAAACATTTAAATTAATTAATATTTTCAGAACAGCTTCAGTTATTTCACTGATATTTAGTAGGTAGAGGAATTTAATAGAGTTGTATATTTTTCAATGCAAAAATAATTTTTAGCTTTAACAGTGGCGTGCGTACGGGTATTGACTTCGACATTTTTTAGGCAAACAATGATACGCCGATGGTTTTTGCCCAAATAAAAATTATTTTTGAATTTCCCGTTCAATTTAAAAGAAATCATCTATGGTGAATTGTTTTCCTTCGATGCGCCATTTTTGAGTAAAAAATAAAAACCATTCTATTGCCTAACTTGCAAAATTATTATTAATTTGAAAAATTAAACACATTAGGGTTAATGAGCAACAACAACTGACAACATAAACACAACATTAACTTAGTATGTATGCTTCCGCCCTCCTTCTCATGGAATTGCGCAATCGTTGAAATATTCCTGGAGTGCTTTTTATTCTATCACAAGCTGCAACTATTCTTTCTCTTAATTCCTCTACAGTGTTAATGGGACTTGTGTACACTAGTGTCTTAAGATAGCCCCACAAAAAGAAATCTAAACTGTTGAGGTCTGAGGACCTTGGTGGTCATTCTTGGGGCCCACCGCGGCCAATCCAACGATTTGGATAAACTGTAAATAATTACGAACCGCTACACTGAAAAGCGCTGGTGCACCATCATGCATGTGCCACATATTGTTTCTTATTACTAACGGTACATCGTCAAGCAGCAAAGGCAACTGTTGTTGAAAAAAATTGAGTTTGTTCGTCAAGTGGTCCCGGCAAGAAGAATGGGCCAATAAAGTGGTTGCCAATAATTCCTGCCCATACGTTAACCGAAATTGGTGTTGGAAATGGGTTTCGGTTACAGGTTACAGCATAGGGATTTTCTTCTACCCACAAATGATTATTTTGGAAATTTTGAATGGCATTTCGAGAAAAATTAGCTTCGTCCGTGAACAGAACCATTGATTCCAATTGCGGATTTTGTGTAATTTTTTGAGGATACCACTGACAACAGGTCACACGCCTTGGGAAATAAATGTACTCTTAAAATATGGTAAGGATATAACAAAAAATCCACTAAAATTCTCCAAACAATTTGATCGCAAATATTTAAGTGTCTGGCGACCTTCCTCGTACTCGTTTCAGGATGTTCTTCGACTTCGTGTAACACTGCTTCCTCAGTTTCAGGTGTTCTCACACTTAGAGGTCTACCTTCAGATGTTCCTTTTCGGACAGAACCAGTTCCAATAATACCTCCATGAATATTAGAAAAGGTTCGACTATCTGGAAAAGCACGAAAGGGATATCTCTGGTGATAAATCCGTCTGGCTTGCTCACTGTTACCGTCGGCAAGGCCATATGCGTAATGCATTTCCGCAATTTCTGCATTTGAGTAATTCACCATCATTATTAACAAGATTGTAAAAACTAAATAATGAGAAAGATCTCACAGCGAACAGATTTGAATAACAGAGACTTGTCAGGTTTCAAAGGCCAGTAACATATTCCAGAGCAACTAGATATTTATAGCTAAATTGCATTCTTCAATTATTACATTAATGTTCTCGGACAATAGAATGGTTTTTATTTATTTACTCAAAAATAGCGCATCAAAGGAAAACAATTCAAGAGGGACCATTTGTTTTAAATTGAACTGGAAATTCAAAAATAATTTTTATTTGGCAAAAAAACATTTTCTTAAAAAATATCGAAGTCAATACCCGTACGCACGCCACTGTTAAAGCTAAAAATTATTTTTGCATTGAAAAATATGCAACTTTTACTACGTACTAAATATCAGTGAAATATCTGAAGCGGTCCTGAAAATATTAATTAATTTCATTTTTCTTTCCTAAAACTTCAACACCCCCAGTTTTTGTAAGGAAACGTTTTTGGACCATAGTTTATAAAGGAAACTAGCAATCATTTTTCATGTAGATTCACGCCCTTAAATATTCGTATATCATTAAGGAACACTCTGTATATGTATAGATAACATTGATTGAATTTTTCTGGTAAACTTTACCTGATGTTTTGTCTCCAATGAGTGTCTGTTTTTTTCAGTCTTCCAGTCAGTTGATGCAGTCCTGTCAAGAAGTGCAACTCTTCCCTGTGACATAGAGCCAGACATTAGGGACGATAGAGTCTACATGGTTTTATGGTACCGAGATGGGCACAGCAAGCCGATATACAGGTTAGTAACATAATGTTTGTAAGCATCCATTACGTCGATTCAACTCAGATAATCTTGTTCCCGTGATAATGGACTGTTTTCTGGCTTTTGACATTACTTCCATATCCTCATAAGTAAGCCGAATATACTCGTAGTTTTGGTAGGTGGAGGCGGTATTCAGGGGTACTGGATATTTGATAAATGCCAATCACATCATTGCATTTAAGTAAAAAAGTAGAAACGCCTCCGAAAAAGTGATGTATGTCGATTATCTCCACTTCAACAATTGATGGGTACCGGACCGTCACCTCAAGATATAAACCGTCTTCAATATACCTGTATAACCGAAACAGCTGACATTTTAAACCTATCTCGTTGAGAAACTGGATAAAGTGAGGTCTCTATAAGTGAGCTAATGCGTGAGGCTCCTTGAAATCCCAGTATAAACTTATATAAAGTTTAACTGTATTTTGATACAATCGTTCATGGTAAGCAAACCTTTTTCCTTCTTTCTGTCTGTTTCATAAATAAAACCCTCTACAATGTTCATCGTCATTGGAAGTTTTAGCAATATCGTGAAGGCTCGTCAATATTTTATAAACATGCCGATCAAAAGTTTCTCATCTACTCTACACGGCCACCGTATTTTATCCACCTCAATATTTCCGGAGCACTCAAAAAGCTTTCAGAGAATGATTGTTAATTAATGCTTATCTGGAGGTGACAATTCTAGTTTCACCCGAAAAAACGAAAGTATAGTAGGCGATTTCATAAAAGTACCATTGAAATAAAATGTCTAGGGGATGTACATAATGTGTCTATGTCTTTGGTCATGAGGCCATGCCAAGATTTTGATCGCACAATTATGCCGAAGTGGCGTCTGTTTTGCACAACTTAGCAAAGTTTTTCTGGAAATATATCTTTTTGGTACAGAAAATTTATCGTTATTAATTGCTGCTAAACTATACAGAGTATAAAACTTGTGTGATCCTGGACTCTGCTCCCTGACGTTTTGTATAGCCAAAAGAGATTGTATTGCGCGTCTCTATACACTATCTCGATAATTTTCACTATCGATATAGAAACTCCAATTTCTGTAGTTACACGATTAGGCCAAGATTTTTACAGTACAAATCTGTCGAAATGACATGCGTTTACGATTTGCATTAGTCGAGGTTTTTATAAACATTTCCTTTTCGTACATTAATATCCTTGTTATTTTGTGTCTGTATTGGAAAAAATCATGATACCTTTTACATGTCCTCTGTCCTGATGATGCGCTGTACGTGATCTGCTGTGGATACAAAAAAATCGCCAAGCAACGTTTCACAAGTTAGTATATTGTAAAAACAGAATGCAGGACAAAACTAACTGCTGAATTGTTACTGATGTGCACAGAGTGTGACACTCAAGCAAGGCCTGTGTCGTCTTGTGCTCGAAAATCATCTTTTATAATCAAGACTGTGACTGAGTGGTACCGATCAATAAAGAAATTACACGAAAGAAGCGTGGCACGTGCAAAGGTTTTGAGCACAATGACGCCACATTCCCGGCAAAATAAATGGGGACGACCAGGCACGAAAGAATTGCAGAACTCCATTACCTCCGGCAGCAATAATTGTCACCTGGTTTTTACGGCCGTTTCCTTATTTTATGGACTGGCGGGCCAGCGATGCTCTTGCGCGACTTGAATTTTAATCACGGGTTTGTTTTTTCGAGGGTAGATACAGGTGATGGAAGGGATTTCTGGACCTCCCTCGCCCTTGGCTCGACTTTGAACGATTGAGTCGTGTGTGACCACTTTCGGTTGATTCCTTCTTTACTTCCCACGCATGGGAAGATTTTAGAAAAGGGCAGTAGATTGACACAGTTACGTTTTTTCTATACTCAGCGACAAAAGTAAGATCATTCAGTAAAAATTTCTTAATTGGAATGAAACTGTATACCGCTAGGTATGAGCAAGAGGAAGTCGTCGTAAGGTTCTGAAGTTAATACTGTTGTAGTATCGATAGACTTCGCTAATAATCTGTATGCATTCATTCAGTCATCAGAGCGTGCTTCCGATGAGGCAGTTAATGTTTCCTACACTATCAAGGAAACATCATTCTTGCATAAGACCGTAAGATGGGTGCTCTGGTCGCTTGACATCAAGAAAGCTTCTGGTCCGCACCTGATTCCTCCCGTTGCACCGAAGAGGTTTGCTGCGGAGTTTGCTTCAGTTCTTTCGCGTCTCTTCCAGATATCTTACGAATCCGGCGCCTTCAAAGAAAACCCAAAAAATGCTCATGTCCAACCCATCACAAGAAATGGAATTAAGACCGACCCTTACGACAAACAGGTCACGCAATTGGGGAGAACATTTATCCAGTATTATGGTGAGGCTGATGTCGTTGCTCTTGATATCACGGAAGTGTTCTATCAGGTCTGGTATGCTGCCCCATTAGGCAAACTTCCATCATATTTTCTCCCAGAGAAGCCTTGCAGAGAGGTGGCTGACTTTCTCTCTGGCCGCAGGATATCCGTCGTAATGGACGGGTTCTCGTCTGCATCCCACAACGTCAAAGCGAGTGTTCCACAGAAATCGGTCTTGGCTCCGACACAGTTCCTTATACATATCAACGACCTCCTTTCCCGTTCGTTTAATCCAATCCACAGCTTTGATGACAACAG